CTCTCCTGGCTTCCAGAGTTGAACATTGAAACTTTTCAGAGCCCTGAGTTAAAGTCTTCTCCAAATCTAAGACTGAGAACTTGTCTTGTTTTGTTTCCTTGGGTCTTGAAAGCATTGATTTTGAGGGGACAGCCTCTGATGTCTCTAGAAAATTCGATTCCCTTTTCTACTATGAAGAGAGCCACATTCCCTTGCTATAAAACCGTGGGTACTGTCATCCTTAGCTTCATAATGCTTTTGATAAATCAATTAGGAATTTTATGTTTTTAACACAAGTTCGAAGCTGTCATTTTCCTTCATCTCTAAAACATTTAATAATTATAAGAGATATATTTAGATGTTGTAATGTGCCATGGGCTGAGCTTAGAATCTTATGCAAATCATCTCACCTATTTTTGTAAAAGCCCATGCTATGATAACCATATGATTAGAAGCCTCATTCAACATTTGCAGAGTTGTGACTGTTTAAATTTTATTTTACTTACGTTTTAGAGAGAGGGGAAGGGAGGGAGAAAGAGAGGGAGAGAATCATCAATGTATGGTTGCCTCTGGTTCACCCCCTACTGGGGACCTGGCCCCCAACCCAGGCATGTGCCCTGACTAGGAATGGAACCAGTGACCTTTTAGTTTGCGGAATGATGCCCAGCTCACTGAACCACACCAGCCAGAGCAGAAATGTGACTCTTAAGGGTTATGTGATTGACCTCAAATTATGAACTGAGCAAGGGATGTGCTATGATGAGAATGCAAGAATATTTTCTAGTTCTCATGCTCTAGGCCAGCAGCTCTCAATCGTAAATGATTTGGCATCCCGAGAAAACTAGCAAATATCTGAAGAAATTTTTTATTGTCATATCTGGGGAAGTGATGCTGGCACCTAGGGGATTAAGGCCAGGGATGCAGTTCAACATCCTACCATGCACAGGATGACCCCCCACACAAGGAATGACTCAGTAACTATATCAGCAGTGGGGAGGTTGAGAAACAGTGTTTTCAAACAGAACTTCTTCAACATTAATGTGCATGTGAGTCACTTGGGGACTTTGTTCAAATGCAGATTCTGATCAGGCAGGTCTAGGGTGGCCTAGAGATTCTGCATTTGTAACCAGCTCCCAGGTATTGATGTAGTCCATCTTGGTCTGTGAACAATTCTTTGGGTTTTGAAGGCTGCTGTCAGTGTCAGAGTTAGGTGCAGGTATTTTGAGGCCTTCTCCTCCGAGAGTCCTCCCACCCACTTCAGGTCTGACCTTAGCAGGTCAGATGTTCAGCTTCCACGTGCACAAGTTTCCAGGTGTTTTTGAATATTTCTCTCTTGACAGAAAATGAGCTTCTTTTTTGAAGCCTTTGTTCCCTTACAAACTAGAACAATTCCATCTAAGGCACAGGTGGCAAACACAAGGCCCGAGGGCTGAATTTGGTCCTCCACCTTGTTTTATTCAGCCCAGCACCTTGTTTCCACCTGGCGGCAGTGTTGAGTTCTCACTTAACACATAAGGAATATGTACATTTATACAGCTCTAAAATTACATTTGGCCCTTTGAAGGCAACCTTGAGGCTGATGTGGCCCCTGATGAAAGTGAGTTTGACACACCTGATGTAAGGGTTTGGTGTGAGTAGTGAGTAAGCTCATGGGAACTTACCTGGCACAGAGCAGATGCTCAGTCTATAGCAGGTTATTGTGACTGTGTCCCAGTTCTGCATTTACTAAGCTCATTGTGACACCAGAGTACCTGTAGGGAAAGGAAGTGAGTCCAGGATGACTCTACTCCTGGGAGACAGAGACTTGTGATCTTGAAGGAGGGTCTCTTCCCAGCACCCCTAACAGGAAGCAGAGTGAATGAGAGGCTGCCTGCCATCTGTGCTGTGTTGTAGTCCTGGACACAACCTCTAAATCCCTCACATTGGCCCCCGATGGCCCCAGTCAGAATTTGTGGACTCTCCAAGCTATTTTACTATGTCCTCAGTTCCACTCTTGGGAATATGTGCAAATCTGCCATTTTTTGGTGAATCAGATTGTTCTACCAACTCTTCTTATTGTCCTTGTTACAAGTCTAAAGCCTAGAAGTTGGGGCAAAAGTAGCTTTACACTTGTGAGTTTTGAAAACAGAGTTTATTCTTGTGTTAAGATCTATTAATTATTGTATTATTTTCCATTTGAACAACTGTAAACCTACTTTTGCCCCACCCTGTGTAAGTTATAAATGTCTGTTGTCAAAGGACACATGAAATGCTCTTTCTATTTGCCAGAGATAAATTTATTTTTTCACAATTAATTTTTCACTCCCAAATTGTCTTAGGTTGGACTGTACATTCTCACCCATTGCATCAGATTAAATTGTTTTTGCATCTTTATTGAAATATAAGTATATTTTTAAGGTATATAACATAATGACTTGATGTATGTACATATAGCAAAATTATTACCAGATAAGGTTAGTTAACACAAAAAGCACCTTATATAGCTACATTTTTGTGATGAGAACTTTTAAGATGTGCTTCCTTAGCAATCTGAAGCATATGATACAGTACTGTTAACTGGAGTCACCTTGCTATACATTTGTTTTCCAGAACTTAACATCTTTTACCTGAAAATTTGTGTGCTTTGACCTGTACCTCCCCATTTCCTCCAAGTCAGCCCTGGGCAATAACCTTCTTATTCTTTATTTCTGTGGATTTTTTATCCACATATAAGAAAATAATATACATTTGTCTTTTTCTGTCTGACAGTTCAGTTATTATAATGCCTCCAAAGTCCATCCATGTAGTTGCAAATACCAGGATATTCTTTTTATCATTGATAATATTCATTCATATATATATATATATATATATATAGAGAGAGAGAGAGAGAGAGAGAGAGAGAGAGAGAGAGAGAGAGAGAAAGGTAGTATATCATCTTTATCCATTTATCCAATGGTGGACATTTATGTTTTATCCATATCTTCTTGGCTATTGTGAATAATTGTGCAATGGAGTTGGAAGTGCTGGTATCTCTTCAAGATGTTAATTTGATTTCCTTTGGATACATAATGAGAAATGAGATTGTTGCATCATATTCTTTCATATTTGAGAAGGCTCCATACTGTTTTTTATTATGGCAATACCCATTTTTATTCCCACTAAGAGAGAACAAAAAACAGTTCCCTTTTTCTCTCGTTCCTTTGAACAATGATCTCTTACTCACTGATAAGAGACATTCTAACATGTGTGAGGTGATATCTCATTGTGGTTTTGATTTGCTTTCCCCTGATGATTAGTGATGTTGAGTATCTTTCCATGTATTCAATACCTGTTTACCATTTGTATATGTTTATGTTCTTTTGAAACATGTCTATTGAAGTTGTCTGTTTATTTTCAATTGGATTATTTGTTCTTGTTTTAAAAATTACTTTATTGTTGTTCAATTATAGTTGTCTGTATTTTCTCCCTCTGCCCCAGCCAAGCCCACTTCCCTCTTTTGGTTCCACCCCCCCACCCCCTTTTGTCCTTGTGTCCTTTATAGTAGTTCCTGAAAAGTTTCTCCCCACTGTCTCCTCCCCCCTCCCCTCTGGCTATTGTTAGATTGCTCTTAATTTCAATGTCTCTGGCTATATTTTGTTTGTTTTTTTCTTTTGTTGATTATGTTCCAGTTAAAGATGAGATAATATGGTATTTGTCCCTCACCGCCTGGCTTATTTCACTTAGCATAATGCTCTGTAGTTCCACTCTGCTGTTGCAAAGGGTAGGAGCTCCTTCTTTCTCTCTGCTGCATACAATTCCATTGTGTAAATGTACCATAGTTTTTGGATCCATTAATTTGCTGATGGGCACTTAGGTTGCTTCCAGCACTTGGCTATTGTAAATTTTGCTGCTATGAACATTATTTGTTCTTTTGCATACATTTCTAAAATATCTTTTGGCATTAACCTTTTACCAGATATAAGGTTTGCAAATATTTTGTCCCACTGTATGTGTTGCCTTTAAAAAAAACCTTTACTTTTATTGTGGACACTATTACAGATGTCCCCATTACCTTCCTCTTTGTCTACCTTGCCCCCAGCCTTACCACCTTTCCCTCTGACCATCAGCACACTGTTGTCTGTGTCTATGGTTATGCATATATGTCCTTTGGATGATCCCTTCACCTTCTTCCATCCAGTCCCCCACACCCCCTACCCTCAGTCATCAGTCTGCCCATGCATACAGGTTGCCTTTTCATTTTGGTGTTTCCTTTGCTGTGTAAACCCTTTTTAGTTTGGTGCAATAACATTTGTTTATGTTTTGTTTTGTTGCCTGTGATAGTGCTGTTAGATCCACAAATAATTGCCAATACCAATGTCTCCCCCACCCCCGGCCATTTTTTAGAATTTTTAAAATTTGAGGTCTCACATTTAAATCTTTAATTTATTGCAAAATAACTTTTTGTGAGTGGTGTAAGATAGAGGTTCAGTTTTATTCTTTTTCATATGAATATTCAGTTTTCCAACTCCATTTATTGACAAGACTATTCATTCCCCACCATGTGTTCTTGGAACCCCCTTCAAGATTAGTTGACAATATATGCATGAGTTAATACCTGGGATATTAATTCTATTCCATGGGCTTATGTGTCTGTTTCAATGCCAGCACTATAGTGTTTGATTGCTATGGCCTTGTAATGTAACTGGATATATGGAACTATATGCCTCTAGTTCTTTCTCAGGGCTTTCAGGGCATTTCCAAAATAGGTACACATACCATAACTTCTGGGAATATATTTTAAAAACATAGATTTATTTTTTACAAATAATCTAAATGATTTCTGAAGATAACTTATAAAATGTCATGTTTTATTCATACGAAGGTAACATGGCTGGTTAGGAAGTGAAAGAGAGAACTCAAGATACAACCTAAGAAAAATGGGGAAAGCAGTGAAAACCCAGGGAAAGTTGTGCTTTAAAAACATGTAAAATTAGGAGAAATAAGAACACTGGACAAAGGAAGGCAGGATTTCTGGTCCTCAGGATTGTGTGCCCAGCTCCTCACAACAGTCCTGTAACAGCTCCACCCCTGAGAGTCCCCACCCTGATGAGGAGTCCCTGCAGGGACTCCTTCATGTCCCTGTTCCTGAGACTGTAGATGAAGGGATTCAGCATGGGAGTGACCATAGTGTACATCACTGAAGCCACCAGACTTGTTCTAGAGGATGAAGTGGCTGCAGAACTGAGGTAGATCCCAAGACCAGTGCCATAGAACAAGGAGACCACTAACAGGTGAGACCCACAGGTGGAGAAGGCTTTGTACTTGCCCCCAGCTGAAGAAATCCTCAGGATGGAGGAAACAATGATAATAAGATAAAAGTATTCCTTTGAAAGGAATCATGGCCAGAAGGCCAGTTGCAAAATACACCACTATGTTATTGATGAGGATGTCTGAACAGGCAAGTTTGAGGACTTCAGGAAGATTACACAAAAAAGTGTGGGATTTCCAGGTTTGTGCAGAAGGACAGCCTCAAGACAGGCAGGGTTTCCAGCAGGGAGCCCATAACACTGATGCACCAGGACCCCAGAGCCAGCAGCCCACAGAGTTGGGGGTTCATGATGACTGTGTAGTGCAGGGGGTGACAGATGGCCACAAAGCGGTCATAGGCCATCACAGTCAGGAGTAAATTGTCCAAGCATCCAAACACAATGAAAAAAAAAATCTGGCTGAGGCATCCTGCATAGGTTGTGACTTTGTTTTCTGTCTGGATGTTCAGCAGCATTTTTCGGATGGTGGTAGAGGAGATACAGATGTCAGCCAAGGACAGGTTGGAGAGGAAGAAGTACATGGGCGTGTGGAGGTGGGGGTCTGAGATGATGGCCAGCATAATGAGCAGGTTCCCAGTTAATGTGACCAGGTACACAGACAGGAACAGCCCAAAGAGAAGGAACTGAATCTCTGACTTTGCTGAAAAGCCCAGAAGGAGAAATTCTGGGGCACGTGTTTGATTATTCGATTCCATGAGGAAGAAATAACTGCCAGGTAAGAGCAAAAGCAGCATTCAATCATTCATCACATTGACAGTGTAGAAATGTGGTTGCCTTGAATTCCAGGTTAATGGATTAGTAAGGTAACAACCTTTTCATAATTGCCTTCGGTTGGGGAATTTGAAATGCTCCCATCCTTACCTTTGCTGCTACTACTCTCTGGAAATGTACTTTTAGTTCCAAAGCAGTTGTGTCTTTTATAGTCTGGCTAGTCAGGGACCAACAGGATTGGCATTACCCAAGAGTTTCTTTCAATGCAGGGTCCCAGGCCCCAGTCAGACCTGCTGCAGGAAAATCTGTGCTTTGACAAGATTAGCAGGAGTTTTACATGAGTATGAATGTTTGAGTATCGTTGGTCTAGAACATCTATGGTTCTACCCCTTCGGTTTTTATCTCTTCACTTTTATTTTCCTCTACACCTTCTCTCAAACCTCATTACTGAACATGTGGCCAAAAAATAAGAGCTCAGTAACCATGTTTTTGCTGCCGTCTGTGTGGACTTACTTTCATATATTGGCCCTCCCTATGCCAAGCAGTGTTTAAAGTTTTCAATATAAATACCTACAACTTTCACAATGATTTTCACTGTTACATGATAGCATATTACATTACTTTACATGTTCATTTCATGATGTTCTAGTCTGTGTTATTAGAAAGTCTGTCAACCATAATGCCTTTTTTCTTTAATTTCTCAGCAGAACTTTTTTTTTTACTTAAAACTAGTTTTATTTTAAAATTAAGTGTATAGCACTCATCTAATTCCATTGGTGTAGACTTTAGCACCATACTTGCCATTTGCAATTAATGTTATGACAGATACATTTTGGTTTGCAATCTGTATTTGAGTAGTGTGTATTTAATGGACTTTGGTAAAGCCCTTTATACATATCATTTATCTCTTCACAGTATGAATTTAATGATGATCCGGTAATCTCAGGAAAAAAAAAAAAGAAAAAGACCGACTTTGAACACTAATCAATAAATTAAACAAAATGAAACTTGCATTAACTTCCCCCACCCGCATCCCCCAAAGCTAGCAGTTATGAGTTGTATTTATACAGAAACCTAATGTTTAAAACATAGTTCTGGTTCTCCAAACACCCCATCCCATCCCACCCTGGGTATGCAGCAATAGAAACCAATTATTTTATTCTGTCCCCCCCAAATTAATCCAGTGTTCTTTAGCTTTTTTAAAAATACAAACTGGGAAAGTGTTATTATAAGCTTTTTAAAAAGGCATATTCTATAACAAGAATGACATTTAAACCAATCAATAAAAGCATTTGACAATACATTAAATTACCATAGGCACCAGTTGTTGTTTTTTCAAATTGAGATCTCCATCTCAATATCTTACATTCATAGTATTATTGAGGTAGTTAAAATACTGAAAATTAGACTCCAGGTTGCTGGGTTCTGAATGTGAATATGAAAGATAGATTCTTTTGAACCCACTTTCCCCCAAATAATTCAAGTTCTCTTGAGGTAAGAACTACCAAAATCCAATTAGCAGTCTTCTATAAAGAGGAAAAATGATACTTTCAGAAAACAATTTTCATGCTTGAAAACTGCCATGTGAGTGTTCTTACCTGAGTGGTTTTTAAATTTTTATCTACCAGGCTAATAAATCCACATCATGCCCTATGTACTCTAATTATAAAAGTTACCTTTGTTTTAAGGAAAGGACATTCTCTAAGAATTCACTCTCAGCAGAACTTCTTGAAGAATGGTTTAAAAAGTAATGTAAGTGCTGCATGTAAAGCTGATGTTGTATTTGGGCATTTTTTTTGGTCACATGAGGTAGACCACTCACTCATCTGAGATTTGGTAGTAATGTTTTCAGGTTACAGATTTTTGTGGGAAGGGAAGAGATTTTTTTTTAATCAAATTCATGTATTATTGGCACATAAAAATTACAGAACTCAGGAACTATAAAGAGACAGGAAATTTCAAAAGTTAAGATAGTGACTTGTTAATCAGAGCCACAAGATTAGTGTTCATCCATTAACCAAGTTGGCAAAATAAGCTATCTGAGAATCTAAATGCTCTTATCACCTAGATGAGATAGGCCCTTTTAATTTTATTTTATTCTATTTAATTTCTAATTTATGGTTGTTAGAATACAGTTGTCTTCATTATCCTGCCACCACTATCCTCCCACCTCCCATCCCCACCTCCCACTCTCCATCTTCCCCCCTTTGGCTTTGTCCGTGGGTCCTTTATACATGTTCCTTGATGACCCTTTTCCTTCTTTTCCCCGTTATCTCCCTCCCCACCATGGTTAAATGAGTAGATTAAAAAACCGTGATACATTTACACAATGGAATAAGACATAGCCAAAAGAAAGAAGGAGCTCCTACCCCTTGTGACATCATGGATGGAACTGGAGAGCATTATGCTAAGTAAAATAAACCAGGTGGTGAAAGACAAATGTCATGTGATCTCACCTGTAAGTGGCACTTTTAACTCTGGCCAAGGTTTAGTGCTGATATTTTTCTGGAATACCTGAGCCATGATGTAGCATCTTTGCCTCACCCCTCTGACAGTGTGATTGTTACCACGTGTGATGCCTCCAGCCCATGTTCAGAAACACCTGGAGAACCTTAAAATGTTTTGGATTTCTTGAAGGCAATTGGCTGGAAGCATTGCTCCTTACTTCACACAATATGAGGCTGTTTTATGAGAATTAAGGACATCAATGTCTTAGAAAAAAAATTTTTTTTGCCTCAGTATCAGGAAGGGTCTTGTTTCTGTCAAGCAGTTAATTGTTTTGATATTATGGACACTCGGGACCCTATAATTAAGTACCATGCCAGAGAATGCTTGGACAACATAGCCGCTCCCTGCTTTTGTATTAACAGGACCTGATTACCCTTTGCAGTGGTCCTATATTCAGCTAAGATACCCTGTTTTCCACCTTCTCTTGTAATCATGGACAGTTGGATAGTGTGTGAAGTTGGTAAATGGGAATCCTGGAATGCTTGTCAGAGCCTTCCCTTTCCTATTTCCTTTGTGTCTGGAATTTACACATCACAACAGGGCTCCTGCAGTTGGCATGTCTTTGAAGACCACATACTATGGCTAGGGGAGCAGAGAAATGAAATGAACCTTTGTCTCTCATATTAGCCTGGAGACATCGTGCTCGTCCCACTCTCTAATGATGGAGATACAGTGATCCCTAGGGGATATGATACTTTTTATTTTTAGTGTTTTTTGTTAATGTAGCCAAATTTGATCCTAACAGCAGAGAATCCTTTGTTTTCACTGGAATTTTCAGTGGTATCAGGGGCTCAGTGTTGGCAACTAGGTAACATTTCATGGTAGATAATTTGTTTACTCATATAATTATTCTTCTAGTTTTATGTCTCCTTTACTCTCTTCTGCCTCCATACTTGTCCTATACATGTAAGGTGTTTTGCTTTATTTTATGTATTGCATATAGATGTGTTATGTAAATGAGTGAAAGAATAAATAAATGTTTTTTTTCAAAGGACACTGTGTCCTGGACTTTTGGTCCATGACAGCTGTTCTCCCATAAGTACTCTCTGAGGTCTCCTTATGCACATACCTCTGTGGATGTGAAAAAGATCCACAGGATGTGAGAAATGTTTCCCACGTCCATCAGGTACTAGATGGAGAAGAATCTAGTTCAAATTCGCACCTCCCTGACTTCAAGGCAGTGCTTTCCTCACACTGCAAGGCTGCCTCACTCTGTCAATTCTACACACACACACACACACACACACACACATGAAATGCTCAAGTTGAAATAGAGCAGAGCCCTGAGAGTTGAGCAGATGTAAGGAAGGGTCAGTTCCTACTGTGGGAGGAGAGAGGTTGTGGGATTGTGCTCTGAGATGGTAAATGGGAAGAAAGGGTCTGAGAAGGAGTAAGTTGCAAGAATGCCCTTCGGGCTAGGGATGCCTAGTGTGCAGGATATTGGACCAATCCCTTCTCACATCATCCACCTGACTTCTCTCAAAAGGCACAGTTACTGAAAGCTGTCCTTCCCTCCATGATGCTTTCCCGTAGTACTCACTCTGGCATCTCCCAATGGCATCACTTGATGGATTTGGCTCTACTGGTCCATCCTTCCTTGGGCAATTGATGTTGAAAGGGCAATAAATGGGGATCCGGTGCTGGATTTCCAGAGTAGCTGGGCATCTTAGAGAGGCACAGAGAGGATGCTCTTGACCAGAGGCTGAGGAGGTGTAGGTGAGTCTGCTGAGGGAGGTCCAGAGGTTGAGTTCTCAGAGCTCCTCATTAAATAAATTGTTTTATTGTCACTTAATTCTCTAAGCAATTCAGCTCCCTTGAAGTCAAGGGACCATATATATAACGAAACTCTCTGCCAGTTCAGTCTTCATAGACTTACCTTAGTGGCAAAACACATAGCCCTTCCTACTGATGAGCCCAACCCCCACAGGCTCACAAGCTAGTGCTCAATCCACTAGTAGCACCAGCCAGGGCAACAGTCACATTTTAAAACTCACATGGATATAAATATATATATTCTGGCCCGCTAGGCTATTCTGAGCATTCCTTTACAATAGGAAAGAGTACTTTAAATATAAAATCAGTACCTGATAGTGACTCAGGGCAGGCACTGCCAAGCATATTTTTTAAAATTTTAATTTTATTGATTATGCCATTACAGTTGTTCTATTCCCCCCCTTCATTCCCCTCCAGCCTCTACCCCCCACCCCCACCATTCCCCCTTTAGTTTATGACCATGTGTCTCAAGTTCTTTAGATTCTATATTTCCCATACTATTCTTGCCCTCCCCCTATTTTCTACCTACCATCTATGCTACTTATTTCTGTACCTTCTCCTCCTCCCACTCCCCTGTTGCTAACCCTCCATGAGATCTCCATTTCTATGTTTCCGCTCCTGATCTGGCTGTCCTTTTAGTTTGCTTTTGTTTTAGATGTGGTTGTTAATAACTGTGAGTTTGCTGTCCTTTCACTGTTCATATTTTTAT